AGCCTAGAACAAATTTATAAATTAAGTATATATATATATCAAAATATGAGTCAACTAATATAAATATACTTACGGCTTCTGGATCATCAGGTAATGCCAGACCAGGGAAAAGTCTAGCTTTCTCGTCCAAGTTATAGTTGTTCGTAGTATCACCATTAACTGATGAATCCGGTTCTTTGCCTTTGTTTTTATATTTTGGATTCATTTTTTGGATCAAACGATCCAAGTTGGCTACGAAAGACTCAGGAAAGTCAGCTCCAGCATCTGTCAAAGCTTTTTTGAATGCAGATAAAGATCTATTTTGTTCGTGAAGGTGGATCACAAATTCGGCTGTAATATAGAGTAGGTAACAACGCAAATATTAATATACTTTTTAAAGTTTCAAGTGCGGAAAATTTGATTGATCCATACCTAAAGTTTTGTCATTAATCCCAGTATGATTAAGAAGTTCACTGGTAATTTTTGATACAAGTGAAAGGTATTCAAGCTTGGAAATCTCATCGAGATTGTCCATTTAGTCGATTCTTTATTTTAAGGATCAAAAGTTTAAAGCTTATTGCAGAAGTTAAACTTTAATAAAAAATTTATATAACAGGTTTAGGTGACATTTACATGGTGACACTAATTTGTATTGGTCAATTTCAAGATGAAACCTTAACTGGACGATTTGAATGACACGTTCGGACACGTTCGTGGAGGAAATATCTAACAAAGTTTCTCTGATAACAATCTGCCACTATAAGGCACTTTTTTAGCATACTGTAAGCCACTGCATCGTGATCAAATTAATGGTCGACCAGAAACTTTCTGAAGGGTCTTTGGTATCAAATTAGTCAAATGGGATCTTTGCAGTAGAAAGGGACAATTATATATTAATGTGCAACTAAATAATTACAAAAAGTATTTCTACGTATTAGTGTTGTAAGCCACATGACTTTAGTCGGCTGGCTAAGCCAGCTGACTAAAGCATCACTAACTAACAGTCTACTTTTTTCTTAGTATTTTTTCTTTTTCCTTCTCAGAATTTAGGTGTTCCAAATCTAAAATCGATTAATTGAATTGGCAACTAATCTAAAAAAAAAAAAAAAAAAAGAAATCGATGATTTCTATTCTGATAATGAATCTGAGCAAGA